ACCCGCCGCGCCCCCCGCGACCGCCGGCCCGCCCCTCATCTCGCCCGCAGCCTCCACCGGCCTCAGCCTCATGAAGCACTACAACTCCGACACAGACTCGGGTACACAGTGCATTCTTCGCTACGACAAAACTACTTTTATTTATAAAATATATAGATAGTATAACTGGAAGGTTATGACCGGACAGATACGGAGGGGTCCAAGGAGTCGCGCGAGGAGGAGGAGGAGCCGCCGGAGGAGGTGCGCCTGGTGATCGACAAGATGGCGGCGTACGTGGCGCGCAACGGAGACCAGTTCGCGGACATCGTGCGCGCCAAGCGGGACCCGCGCTTCGCCTTCCTGCAGCCAGCGCATCCTCACCACCAGCACTACGCGCGGCTGCTGCGTCTGCGCCGCGCACACTCCCCCCACTCCCCCCACAAGCCCAGCGGTCAGCGCACACAACACGCCACACCATCGCTCTGCATCATCACCTTCATGAGAAATTATTAAATGATCGCTTGTATTACTCTTCCAGCTGTGGTGTCGTTCTCTATCAAGAAGCACAAGGAGCCCGACCCCATCCTGCCGAAACCCGCGCTGCCCTACGAGTCCAGCTCCGAGGAGGAGTCGGAGGACTCCAAACGCGAGCAGCGGGAGCGGCCGGAGGAGGGCGAGCGCAGGGAGGCGCCCGCGCCGCTTGCTCTCCCCACGATGCCCCCCATCATCGTGTACAAGCTGGAGAGCGGCCAGCACGACAATCTGCCCGCGGTCGCGGTCGCGGTCAAGTCCATCGAAGCCGTGCCGGCACCCAGCCAGTCGCCCAAACCCTCGCCCAAACCCTCGCCCGTCGTCTCGGAACCGATCGAACCACAGAAGGTTCCGGAGATGCACGTCGTCCTTCCTGAAAACGAGGTCAAAGTCACTCCTCCGAAAACGGAGAAAATCGAAGAAAACGCAGGAAAGAAGGAAGATGCGCCTCAAAAGAGCGAAGGAAGCGGCGGCAAAAGTAAACATAGAGAGAGTCCCGACAGGAGCGGGAGGGACAGGCGACGCCGCGACCGCAAGAGGGCCTATCGCTCCAAGTCCCAGAGCAGGGAGGCGAGGAGGGCCGACAGGAGGAGCGCGGAGAGAGAGCGCGACAGGAGAGACAAAGAGTACGATAGAAACAAAAAGAAAAGGAAAGCGAGCAAAGAGGCGGCCTACAGTGAGATAATTTCCTTGGTGGACAACTCCGATGAGCTGATAGACCTCACCGAGGAGCCGGCCGAGTGTAAAGGTAAGGGGTGTGGGGGGTGGCTGAGGGCGGAGTGGAGAGGAGAAGAGGGAGGTGGTAACAGTAGTTGTGGTGTGCAGGAGGCGCGGAGGAGCTGCTGCGCCGCGCCGGGCTGCGCGCGCCCGCCGCGCTGCCCACCACCAGCCTCGCCTCCGCCATGGTACGATCTCACCTTTATCGCATTACACGGTACACATTACCATGGTATTCATGTTCGCTTGCGCCTCGCCAGGTGGATACGCTGGAGTCGCTGCGCAAGAAGAAGGAGGAGGAGGAGGAGAAGCGCCGGCGCCGAGAGAAGCGGAGGCGGAGGGAGAGGCGAGGTGAGTGCGGATGGATGGGAGGGCCGTGTGCGGGGGACGGAAGCGGGACAATAGATAATGATTGTAACATTGTTTGATGCAGAGCTGGAGGAGGCGGGGCGGCAGCGCGGGGGGGGCCGGCGTCGCAGGTCAGTCTTAACTACAACCTAACTCATGTAAATGTGATGGCATTCAACTTGTACATGATGTAACATAATGCTGTTTTCTATTGAACATTGAAATTGTAGGATGTTGTATTAATTAACATATTGTCGCAGGTCGTCCGCGGAGGAGCGCTCCGACTGCGAGGGGTGAGTGCCGGCGCAGTGACGTCACCCTCCTATGTCCTCCATACATATACATAAAACATTTCCAATGTTGCAGGTCTCGAAGGAAAAAACGCAAAAGGGACAAGAAACACAGCTCCCGGGACAAGAAGAAGAGAAGGAGAGAGAGCGAGGAGGAGGGGGAGGGGGAGGAGCAGGAGGAGGACCTGCCCATCGAGATCGACCTGACGAGCACGCTGCGGGGCCTGCGCACCGCCTCGCCCTCCCGCGACCTGGGCCTGGCCCCCGCCCCGCCCCGCCCCTCCTCCTCCGAGGGCGAGGCGGAGGTTGAGGGTGAGGGCGAGGGGGAGGTGATGCGCGGCGGCAGGCGGCGGCGGGGCGGCGGGGGGCGCAGGCAGAGGCGCGAGTACAGCGAGGGCGAGTGCGACAGCGACAGCGGCGCCGCCTCCGAGCCCGACCCCTAGCGCCCTCCGCCCTCCGCCCTCCTCCGGCTGCGGAGAGTGGTGCAGCGCGCCAACACCTCGCAGCGACACTTCACACTGTGAGCTGAGCCTGCAGGAGGCTGACTGTACCGACCGGTTGTTCAATGTAACTGCTGCAATTATACAGTTTTATTGTAAATGTAAGGTTGTGAGACATTGTGAACAGAACATTCATACAAACTGACTAAATATTGAACATGTTGTCCCTCTCACTCTGTATGATGGGAACAGAGATAGCAATGCTTCATTACGAGTGTAAACGAGACCAGAACTTCACTGTCACCTATAGGTATATGATAGTTTACCATACAAATGTAATCATAGATTTAAATTTAAATGATAATTGTGCAAAAAATAATATAAAATAGTCGCAGTCGTAGTCGTAGTGAGTGAGTGAGTGAGTGAGTGAATGAGTGAGTGAGTGAGTGAGTGAGTGAGGGAGTGAGTGAGTGAGTGAGTGAATGAGTGAGTGAGTGAGTGAGTGAGTGAGGGAGTGAGTGAGTGAGTGAGTGAATGAGTGAGTGAGTGAGTGAGTGAGTGAGGGAGTGAGTGAGCGAGTGAGTGAGTGAGTGAGTGAGTGAGAAATACATTTGCTTTGTATGAGAATGCAGAATGCAGCAGCACATACATAAATATAATCAAACAATTGTAAGCATCTTTGTGTAAACTTTACAATATATTGTACATTATTTTATACAAGAACATGTCTTTTATTTGCTCTTTTACTCGTACAACTCATTATATTAAGAATAATTCACTAAAGTATCGGCATATATCTAATGCAGATTTTTTTATATTGTATCATAAGATGGCAAACAAACGAGCGGTTACCTGAAATCGCTGATATGACGAAGTGACCGTTGCCCATAGACATACGCAATTGCATATGCGTTTTCATCGACGGAGGAGAGGATGCACAAAAAGAAATATATGTTCCCTTTCCATGCATCCTATCATTCGGAAAGTCCACTTCCACTTCCCATCCTCTCCTTATAAGAAAAAGAGTGGGAAGGGAAAGAGGACTAAATTAGGCCTCCGGGACGCACACTCATCAGACTGTTGACTTGACGCCTGTCTTCTGTGTGGTCGTGGTATTTCACCGGGCGGGCCGGGTCGATTCGTGCGAAGATGTTAAAGCGGGCTCTACCACTGTTAATGAAGCTGCTGAATAAACGAACTTCAAAATGAAAATACATTAAAAATATTTACGTATACGATTAACTTTTCGCTCTCAAAACAATATAAAATATCTTGTCAAGGTTTAACCTGATATAATTGTAATAACAAGTTATATAACATGAGGTTATCTCCGCTTCATACAATATTGTATAAATAATAGCAATAAACAAATAATTATATTGTGTCAGAAATATTTCTTCATAACATTTAAACGTTAAAGACAATTTCTCTTTCTAAGTAGCACACTGAAGGACGCCCTTAGTGACCACTGATCGAAACAGACTAAAGTCGAAGTCAAAGTCAATGGAAATATCACAGTTTGACAATGTCATTTATTGTAAAAATTGATGATACAAACATGTCTGTTTTTAATTAGTCGGTGATTATAAAGTCCCCCGTACGAAAGGTTTACACGAGTTTGTTATAATTTACACTCACTAATTATAAATTCTATTACGACATAAATTGCATATTTTGGTCAATATTACCTCAATTTCGGGGTGATATTAATTCGAAGAACCTCTAGAACAAAAACACTCGGAACACAAAAAATTCAGATTGTTTTGTTATTGTATTTGTTATCGTCGCGGTTTAACTATGTTGTTTAACTATATTGGAGTGACCGCCGGGGGGCCGCGGGGTCACACAGAACAAAACATCGTAAAGTTTGGTGATACGTTTACTGCGCATGTAACATGACGGTTAAATAATTATTTATCTGAGCGTTACATAAAATTATATTTTAACGCACATATTATGAATAACTTAGTCGAATAACTCTTCTGTATGTTTGCAAAGTTATCATGTCGGATAGATGGCGCTGATTGGTTCTTGGATATTTTAATTTTAAATGTAGATTCTATTAAAAATGCCGCTCTTCTAGATTCTTTACTTAAAAATACTTAACGAATCAGCTTAACAAGAATACAGTGTTTATCTCACATTAAGATATAGTTAACACAGCGTGATGTTAACCTCGTCGCGTACAATGAAGCTCAAGTGGTTTACAACGATGCACGTGCTTTTGTCTGATGTTTCCTAATGATATTCAATAATCCATGAATAATCATAAACACAGACAATAACATCGTACATTACGTCGTACGTCTCTGATGTGCTGATTAATTAAACTATGTAAATTATACACCACCTTGTAAATGTAATATCGTTCGATAACATTGTCAAATCAAACATAGCGGGCTTACTGTAATCCATCGGATAGAATAAATCCTATATTATCTAAACCGCAATAAAGATGCGTTGTAAATAATGCAGCCTGTATAAAGCGCGAGATGAGGCGGCGCAGCACTGCACTGGAGCCGCCCGGAGTCGTGCATACACAATGTCTACTCAAGTTGTAAGTATTATTGCTTACCAAACGAACAAATATATTTTTATAAGTACTTGATAAATTTGTGTAAAATGTAAGTGTAGTCTCTAAGCGAGCGAGCTGCAGTTATCAGTCAACATCCTCAAACATTTAAATAGCAAGAAGCTGGAGATGCGATAGTAGAACTCTTTTCTAAAGTATATTAAGTACGACATAAAAGTGGAGAAAGAGATAATGTAGACTGAGGCTTTGTTTTTAAGCATTCTATGTTCACGACAGCTCTCGTATGGACGTTGTAATTAACTTCAATACACAGGGCAAGGTCCCGCTGACTGATCCGTCGCTGCTGCTGCGGCCGGAGAAGGTGTACGATGACAAGCCAGTAACGGCTTTCCGGGACTACTCCATCGACGACGAGGACCCCATCAAGCAGCGCGTGCGAAGGACTTACTACACCATGCACACACACACCACCGTCGACTTCGTCAAAGGTAAATTTTGCTTTCGCATGGCCAGGTCGCCGCGGCCAGAGCGAGTGCTGATACACTAAAGCCGTCCGCTTACTCCGCTTGCAGGCAAGATGGAGAAGTGGCTCAAATTCAACCACTTCAAGTCAACGATAAAGGACGCACTGATCCGACTGAACGAGCTGGTGGACGAGTCGGACCCCGACACCGACTTGCCCAACATCGTGCATGCGTTCCAGACCGCGGAGCGCATCCGCCAGGACTACCCTGAGGAAGACTGGTTCCACCTCACGGGGCTCATCCACGACCTCGGTAAGGTGATGGCCTTCTACGGCGAACCGCAGTGGTGCGTCGTGGGGGACACCTTCCCCGTGGGCTGCAAGTGGGGGCCCAGCATCGTCTACGGCGACGACAGCTTCAAAGACAACCCCGACACCTACAATCCCAAGTACAAGTAAGTTTCACTTGCATTCTCCTCGCTCCAGACTATGAATGTGATGACTTGAGCAACAGTTGTTCTAACTAGTGCGTGTGTTGTCTGTTCCCGGCGCGGCGCAGCACGGAGTACGGCATGTACGAGCCACAGTGCGGCATCGAGCGGCTGATGATGTCCTGGGGGCACGACGAGTACCTCTACCGCGTCCTCGTGCACAACCGCGCGCGTCTGCCGCGTCGCGCCCTCTACATGATCAGGTCGCACACACACACGTATCACTTGTTTCTGTTGCATTCATATACATGCACCTGCGAAGGAGACGTACTCTGTACGATTGTACAATGTTAATGTTGTACGATATTTCTTGTTATGCTTTTTAGTTTGTGATTATCACTGGATGACGTTATTGTTTGACATTAGATTTTTCTTTCCAAGCTCCGCAATACAAACGAGACATAATAAACGCAATTGACGATTAACAACTAAGCGATCATCAATTACAACTAAGTACTTAAATAGAAATAATTATCAATATCATAATGATATTATGATGAAATGCAATTATAAATTAAACAAAATTTATAAGTTAATTTGCGTGTGAGGTTGATGTTTAATTACATATATTGAAATGATGTACTCAACTATTTGATAAGTTATAACATATTTAATGATGTCATTAGAACAGTTTGTAACAGTGACAGTAACAGTATGTAAGTACAGCGCTGAATATGTTGTATGCGCAGGTACCACTCGTTCTACCCGTGGCACGCGGCCGGTGACTACCCCCACCTCATCACGGAGAAGGACGACCACATCCTGAAAGCCGTGCGCGAGTTCAAGTTAGTCAACTGACCTCGCATTGTGGTTACATGCCTCACTCAGATTTAAGCTTAAATGTTTATAGATTGTGTAAAAATGTCACATTGCAGTAAGTACGACTTGTACACGAAGAGTGCCGCGGTGCCCGACATCGAGGCGCTGTGGCCGTACTACGAGCGTCTCATACACAAGTACATCCCCGGAGAGGTCGAGTGGTGAACACGTGCGGTACAAATAAACATTGAATAGAATAAATATTGTCTCATTGCATCATTCAGTGAAGCATAAATTCTTTTTTTTTATTATTTTATTTTTTTAAAAACAACTGTATAGCATCCTTACAGTATACAACCAATTTGACACTATACACACTTTACATAACAGTTTACACGATAACATATTTTATAATAACAGTAAATAACACATAACAATGATAAATAAAAAGAAAATACATAGATTAACATTAACAATAAATAATAGGAAAAGGTAAACTACTGGGCTTACGTTATGGTAGGGCGCGGTTGGGCGACCGTCCAGGACGCACTACAGAATAACCCCCTGTATGGCAAGTTCAAAGCGCTGGTGTATCTAAAACAGTTACTGACTGTTTAATGAAAATTATATAAACTTAAAAAATATACTACTACCGCGTATTTGTATGTATACACAAAATATCATTTTTCCCGAAGCTGCTCAGGACAATTTTGGCACCCTTTTAACTTTGTTTATATTTAGTAGCAGTTAGTTTCGGATGAGCAGAAACTTTACCACCGATGCTGGTTTATCTAAACACCACCAAATAAGGCATTTAAAGCGTAATATGGTGATTGGCGATGACTGTTGAATAAATGATACACCTCTGTTCGTTCATTACTTAGTGAGAGGACGGCGCCGCAGCCCGCACGAGACGCTGCGCGCTGTGCGAGCTAACGACCACTTCCTCACGTGCGTGCCGCTCATTCATCGACAATTGTAACCATCATATAAATGACAACAAATAAAAGGAGTGCGGCTATTTATAGACGTACAGAGTCGAATTCTTGCTGTTAGCTTCCTACTTGATACCTTATTAACATATGTCCTCAGTTAACCAGATGAAGCGAAGTACTAATGTTTAGCCGTAGTCACATATTATTGAGGTAAAAAGATCTTTGAACATAGAACTCGTCTTAGTGACCTTCGGTTATTTCTTAGTCTGATTTGTTAGGGAAAGTTTTGGGGCCAGCACTCTGGTGACAACGGAGGATCACTCTGCGGGGCCGGATGACATCGGATGAGACCGAGGTTTGATGGATAACGTCTCTGATGGAAGTTGAGATGATAATCTGTTGTATATATCCGCGAGCGCGTCAAAGGACGCGATCTATGTGCGATATATCTGCGCTCGGCGATAACTCTTGCCCCGCGGTTCCATTAGCGAGCACATTTAAGCCGTGGGCGCGACTCTCGCGCACCAGTTCGTGTCCTATTACCAGAGAACACACCTCACTCCAACCACCATGAAAGTCAAACCGGTAAGTTTGCATTGACAGCATCGGCCGCTCTTTTAAACAATTCTGAAAGCAATTTGTTCAAGTTTTGCATTTCTACGATATCAGTCATTAAGTGTTCACTATCAGTATCTTTATAGAGAGTGCTTCGTTATCTCTATTAAGAATATTTTAACCCAGAAGTTTAACAGTAATTTGTTCATCAGTTATGTTAAATGTTGACGAGTGTAGGCGCGGCCGCAGCAGGCAGCATTTATACTGCTGTTAAATCACATATTTTTGAGAGAAGTACTACACATATTTAACGACTTCTTTTTCACATTAGCCGCTGGTTATTTATATGAATTAAAAGGAGATGGTGAGAGAAATGGATAGTTTTGGATACATGTAGTTCTTAGCACTCACTTTTTTATTATCTCGTGAAATCTTCAAAAAATATGTCAGTTCCTATATGATAGTCACTTGTGTATATACATTTGTATGTATTATACAGTTAGATACTCGTGAATAAAGTTCATTGAAGTAGAGATACAAGTGACACAATGTGCGGACACGTCCACCTCAGTCACGTGACGCTAAAGCAGCGCGAGCGCCGCGGTCCTCATCCAATACACATATTTCAATTATTACTAAGATTTTGTTATAAAATGCACAAATAACTACTAAACTATAATACAGAATGTAACTAAATGATTATATCTAATATGTACATACTTAGTGTGTCATAGATGTGCAACATTTAAAGCAAACGGCAAAATTACCTACATCTAAAATGTTAGGTAGTGGACGTTGAATTGATTTGTTCACGATCACACGGGTTTTTTAGATTGTAAATTCAATGGTGTTGTTGAAGGAAACCTCCGTGGGCATGATCGACCCATCCCTGCTGCTGCGGCCGGAGAAGGTATACGACGACAAGCCAGTGACGGCATTCCGGGACTACTCTGTCGATGACGAGGACCCCATCAAGCAGCGCGTGCGCAGGACCTACTACACCATGCACACACACACCACCGTCGACTTCGTCAAAGGTAAGTTTTGCTTTCGCATGGCCAGGTCGCCGCGGCCAGAGCGAGTGCTGATACACTAAAGCCGTCCGCTTACTCCGCTTGCAGGCAAAATGGAGAAGTGGCTCAAATTCAACCACTTCAAGTCAACGATAAAGGACGCACTGATCCGACTGAACGAGCTCGTGGACGAGTCGGACCCCGACACCGACTTGCCCAACATCGTGCATGCGTTCCAGACCGCGGAGCGCATCCGCCAGGACTACCCTGAGGAAGACTGGTTCCAACTCACGGGGCTCATCCACGACCTCGGTAAGGTGATGGCCTTCTACGGCGAGCCGCAGTGGTGCGTCGTGGGGGACACCTTCCCCGTGGGCTGCAAGTGGGGGCCCAGCATCGTCTACGGCGACGACAGCTTCAAAGACAACCCCGACACCTACAACCCCAAGTACAAGTAAGTTTCACTTGCATTCTCCTCGCTCCAGACTATGAATGAGATGACTTGAGCAACAGTTGTTCTAACTAGTGCGTGTGTTGTCTGTTCCCGGCGCGGCGCAGCACGGAGTACGGCATGTACGAGCCACAGTGCGGCATCGAGCAGCTGATGATGTCCTGGGGGCACGACGAGTACCTCTACCGCGTCCTCGTGCACAACAAATCCTCGCTGCCCAAAGAGGCTCTCTACATGATCAGGTACCTCCTCACACTCACATATCCACATTGTCGCTAGCAGTGCCCGCGACTTCGTCCGCATGAAATACTGTTTTTGAGAAGCGTTTTAATTATTTAAACTCCTTATTTTATGAACTTATTAAACTCACAAAATATTCACATAAACCTCACATATTATAACACAAACTTTCATCCCCTATTATAAAATTTTCACCCTTGAAGGTAATTGTTTTTATAAACATATTCATTTATATCAAATTAACAGCGTAAAAAATAAGTTACAAGCGTCTAACTGAAAAACTTACGATATATCCATACAAATTTCTACCCCTACTTTGAACCCCTCACAACCCGCGTTTTTTTCGCGTTAAAAAGTAGCCTCTGTCCGTTTCCAGCCTATAGGCTATCTGTGTTAATTTCATTTAAATCGGATCAGTGGTTTTCGCGTGAAAGAAGGACATACAGACAAAGTTACTTTCGCATTTATAATATTAGTAAGGCACCTCGACCACTGTGCAGGTACCACTCGTTCTACCCGTGGCACGCGGGCGGTGACTACCAGCACCTCATCACGGAGAAAGACAACTACATTAAGGAGGCCGTGCTCAAGTTCAAGTAAGTTTCTAAACTTTGAAGAATAAACTAAATGATAAGTCAATATAAATAAGAGAATTGTCTTGATTGAATTCTGTTAGTGTTTCTAATCAATGACATTTGTTTGCAGTCAATACGACTTATACACGAAGAGCGCGGGCATCCCCGACATAGAGGCGCTGTGGCCGTACTACGAGAGCCTCATCGACAAGTACATCCCCGGAGAGCTCGAGTGGTAGACACCTGCCCACCCCGCGGACAACACGCGACATCACCGCCGCTTGTCACCGCCACCTGGCTTTGTCTATTTGATATTATATATTTGTAAATATTATATTATAAATAACACCGCATCGGTTATGGAGGATATTGTAAGCCATTATATATATATTCATTTAAATTAAGTTTAAGTTTTTGTACATTAGGATTCGTATTCGTTGCATTTATCCTAATTTAGAATTAATGATAAACATAGACTAATAAATATACATTGAAGTAATTTGTTAATTTTTTCCTCAAATTAATTAAACAGACACAAACTTGACTTTTAGGAGCAATAAATGAATCAATTGTCATCACAATCGATGCACCTTTACCTTGGTCACAATTCAAGAACAACCAGCAAGGTCTGGGTGAGCGAAAATTTGGGTGGCGCGTGGCCTCCTCCAGCGCTGAGGTTATCATGTGTCCACTTTACTGATAATGCAATGATAATTTTCGCGCGTCGTTGACATACGTAAAGTTTGCGACGCGTATCGACGACCGCGAGCCGCGACACGCGACCTGCGACCCCCAGCTCCTCCACGTCACGTTATGATAACCTTGGCTCGTTCAATTTATAATTCCTAGAGTTCACATTGTTCTATGATCAATTAAATACTATTTACTTTTCACTCAAGTTCAAATTCATTACATCAAACTTGTAGTCATTGTAGTAACATTTATTTAACAAAAAATTACGAAATATTAAAAAAAAACTAAAATCGAAATAACGTAACTAGAATTTCCCTCCGTTTCGGACGTACGTTCAAAGAAACACCCACCCATCTTGACATTCGCATTTATTAGGTAAAACTGAGATCGATACATATTTTTCGTTAAACAGAGGGTGTGTCGGTGGGGGGGTGGGGTTCTAACTGCGCACGCGAATGTCGCGGTTAAATGGACAAAACAAATAATTAGATAACGTACAAGTTAGCGCTACATTGATACTTGTGTTTGGTGTGGGCTCGCCAGAATAGTGTCACAATTAGCTTCCAAATGAAAACAACTGTTGTATTATAAATGAGGAACTTTATTTAAGCTTTACATATATATGTATGTACAAAATACAAATATCAGAAAATAGACAATAATTCATTTACTAAACGTAGCTTCAACGTTTGCATTGTGTCCAGTCTCACACGCACAATGTAAGGCTGCTCCAACACCTCGCGATCATTTACTGTACATACAATTAACCTTAATTATACATGCATGCAGATCACATTCAAACGAATTCAAAACATAAAAATATAGCGAAACAATTCCAGAACGGTTTTATATGCAGTGGAGTTACGACTCGTCTTTAAGACGGTACAAATACGCGAGCACGAGGCGCCGCGCCCGGAGCTCGCGCCGGCGTGACGAGCCAAGTTCGACCGTGCGCCGTCGCCGCAAGGTCCACAATCAGTCGCTAACCCGCCCGCTAACCTATCAGTCTTAGTCACAGTAAGACGGCATCTGTCGTCGGCGCACCGCGGAATGTATACCTACTAAACATTACTTTTCTGATAATCACAAGCCACGCTCGGCATAGTCTCAGCGGTCCTGGGGAGGCCTAGGTCTCGAAGTGCTTGTAGATGCTGGTGACGTACGCCATCACCTGCTGCCAGTCGGGCCGCTCCTGCTGGATCATGTCCTGAATGTTCTGCACACAACGGAACAGGAAAACTTTTTATATTACGTTCATCGATTGAACTCGCTTTAGAACATAAAGCCGACACAATATAAAAGTGGTGCAAAGGAGAGGTGAGAGTGAGACGCACCAGCGTGGTGGGAATGCCGGCGGCCTCGGCGGCGGCGAAGGCCAGCGCGAAGTTGGTGCGCTTGTCGTGCGGCGTGAGGTCGGCGTACGGCACGCGCCCGGACCCCACGTACGAGTGCAGCAGCGCGCACAGCGCCAACCCGTCGTTCCACGAGGAGCTGCCACACCGACACATCGCTGCATTACCATCACCGCTGCTTATACCATTCTACAGGAGGAGAGGAGCGTCGTCGGCGGGTACCTGAAGTTTGTGATGTCGATGTTGTTGTAGCCCATGGTCTTCTGCTGGCACCACTTGAGCAGCGCGTTGCGCTTCGAGCCGCCGTTCTTCACCTGCAGCGCGTTCAGCGGGTCCTTGCGCTCACCTGCACACACAACACGCAACAGTAAACACGGCTCGGTAAGTGGAAGCTGGAGGTGCGAGGAGCGAGAGGAGATGTGCACTTACAGATGTCGCCGTAACTGTTGCGGCGCACGAAGGACTCCATCGCCTTCTGGTGCAGGCTGGCCAGCGCGCGCTCCTCGTCCGGCACGTTCGTGTTGCTCGCCGCGCACTCTGCACCACCGCGCCGTTAGCACATCGCACGCCCCGCCCACGCGAGCCCACGCCCCGCCCACACACGCCCACACACGTCGCGCACGCGCCCACCGCCACCGCTCGCGTTCAGTAGAGAGACGGTAGCGGTGGACACGCCCGCGACCGACATATGACATCCTCACACGTTATACATAGAAAAGCAACATTTAACAAAAAAAACTATCTAGATATATGTGACAAACAGAACCAAGACCTAGACCAAGACCAAGATAAGAGATGAGCGCGGAGGGTGACATTATGCATGTTGATACCACATGGTAGGGAAGGCGACGCGGCCGATTTGAGATTCATTCCAGAGCGGCAGTTAAACATATTATATAATAAGTAAAAATTGACTCGAAGACAGAGTGAAATTACAGACAGAAAAGTTACAATTTTCTGAAAATTTGCATAATCACAAAGTTGCACGATAAAATATCAGTTTGACATTATCGAACCCGGTGACCGACTGTCCTAAGAGAAGAACTTTACATGGTGACTTGTGTGTGTGGTGGTGGTGGTAGTTGATTGCGAGCCACATCCCTTTTTTATATTTATAATAACAGCCACGCTCGAGTAAACCCAAAAATCCCGGCTTCGTTTCCCCTACTGAGTTATACTAAAGTGAACCGTTTAATGGAACAAAGCGTTGAGAATGATTCGAAATTTCCAGAGTGGATGTTAACAAGATTCAAAAACACGAGACAAACATAATAATCAAACGACGATCCGTCAAAGTACCTCGCCCCCATCCCTCCCCGCCCCACCCCATCCCAGCCCAAAGTACATAATGTTTATAAAAGTATTAGATGTTGATCTAACACATAATATTGTTATTACTATGTACATTATTGTATCGTTAAACCTTTAGCAGTGACAAAACATGTATGGTAAGTTATTACATAGTAAGATTGTGGAGGTATGAACCATTAACCATGTTTTATTAGTAACGAGCAAGCAGAGTTGTGAAGAACCAATGCAACACGAGACACGGTAGTTGAGGCTGAGAGCGGAGGTACGCGCCGGGCCGCTAGTGGCCGCTAGTGGCCGCTAGTGGCCGGGGCGAGCGCGCCTCGCTGTGGACAGAACGCGCCTGCTGACCCTCGGACGAAAGGGGAAGGGGGGGAGGGAATAGACTGTCAACGTTTGTGCTACGTGCCGCTCAAGTGTGGAGAGAGTAGCGCACAGGTATGCCATGCGGAGCATGGAGCGAGGTGTGCATCACGTTACGATCCTCGCCGCTGTATATAAAAAGTTGGTCAGGTCGTCGCTTCCGCCGCTATAATATTCTCCTGAGATGCATATTTTATAATGAAACGGCACATTATTTATTAAGCACACCAATCGCCGGCTCACTTTGAAGTTACCGGAACCACACGATCTATATAAAAGAGCATGACAATGGATAGATGCGCATGCACTAACACGGCGGCGCGTTACCTTGCGGCGGCGGCGTGGGGCGGTGCGCGCGCGGCGGCGATGCGGACC